TACAGCTTTCCATTTCCAACAGACTACATTCTTTCCAGAGAAACATTTTTTACTCAGACTATCCTAAATCAGGAGAAAAGCAAATAACAACATATCTTGTAAACGATTTACTCAACAATTCATTTAGAAACACAATCAGGACGGGGGAAATGATAACAGAACAATCTTAATTGTAACAGCAGTCGATAAATAGCTAACCAGAGCCGGTTCATGAAGTGCTCCCTTCAGCCTTTGTAACAAAAAAGTTAACTGAACTCACAAAAAACCACGTCTCCACCTACAGCACTGAATACCGAATATGGCAATAGCTAAATTATCTGACCACTAACCCAAATGAAGTCTAACGGGCATCGACGTCGGACCACAGTCAGCCCAGAAAAAGATCAACGCGTTTCCAACTTCTCTCAATATCAGGTGAACAGTATAAATATTTAAAGTAAAAAAAGAAATGGGCGAACATTACCACACCTCACAGAGCAATGAGAAATATTCCTGCAAACCTTAACTAAAAACGATAACTTTTCAAAGAAAAATCAAATATTTGAACTATGAGATAACACCGAATGATAAACTTAAGAACAGCTCATTAACTCAATCAATTGGGAACGCATCGAGGTCTCTGTAAGAGGTGAGAGGGCGTGACGATTCTGGTGTGAACGTAGAACACCACCGAAAACCCGCACAACACCAAAACAAAGAAACTACAACCACGACACCAACTCAAACCCGAAACCAACCCGCAAAGAAAGAACACAGAAGAACAGGAAAACCAAACGAAGAGAACCACGAGAATACCCCCCCACCACCAAATAACAAATAAAAAAAACCAAGCACTAAAACACAAAAAACGAAAACGAAAAAAAGAAAACAAAACAAACGGAAACCCTAACCCAACTGAAAACGAAAACCGATGATACCACCAACCGACGAACCATACAACCAGAGAAAACAAACCACAGATAACCAACGAATTGCGGGAGGCGGACCACACTGTCAAGCCTGCGTAACCACGGTTTCTGCGGTCCCCACTACTCGCATAACTGCGATCTCCGCCGCCTCGATCGCTGCGTTCATTGCGATCTCCTAAATAGCACATTGACTGTGGTTTCAAACATCTTCAATCTAGCCACAAATCCGAATAAAAAAATATAGAAGAAAACTTTGTCGTATTTTGATGGAGCACATAATGAAGTACCCAAAACAGTGATACTGGGGCCATACCAGCGCCCAGAACGATATAATCAGTGGTGCTGTTGCAAACTGGAAGATCAAGTGGTGCCGCCACCGAGCCTACTTCTCTGAGCTTCATGGCGAAGGCTGTGCCACGACCATGTCATGGCTACGCCTTCTGAGGCTTAACCTGGAGGGGGACAGGGCTTCTATTTACAGAATGTTTTCTAGCTGCGAAGCTTCAAAAGTATTTTGTCATTACATTTTCTCGTCAGGCCGACGGCATGCAAGAGGAGGAAAGTAACGAAGACGGGATAGGGAAGGAGGAGCGGGGAAGAGGAGAGAGAGGAGAGAAGAGATAACGGAAAAGAGAGAAGGAAGAAAGGAAAGAAGAAAGAAAGGAGGGCAAATAAGAAAGATGGAAAAAGGAAGAAGGAGGAGGGCAGTTGACTGATGTCCTCAGACGTACCACTACAACAGCACCTATCGCGCATAATGAAGCAAAAAACTTACTGTATCTATCCTCACGACGCTCTTCTTCCCGTGGGGGCGCGGGGCTTGGCTTGACCTCCACATTGGCAGGCCTGTTTGGATCAGCCAAGTAATTGTTGTAGAAAATTGCCTGGAACAGAACCGTGCATCCGGTTTAGCCTGGTATATTTCACTACTGTTTAGGTACGCTTAGAATGAAGTTCATGAAAAAAAGGACAAAAAAATTACGAACCTCTTCGCGTACTTCACGCAGCTTTTCATCGTGCTTACTCGTGAGATGTTTACGAATGAAATCTGGTCCTTTGAATTTTTTCCCTGATAGTGGACATAACCACTTGTCTTGAGCCAATTCTACAGTATTTGCTTGAATAAATGCTTCAACTTCTCTGAAAAAGCAGAGTTTTCAAGAGAAACTAGGGTCACTTCAGTCTAACTGAGGAACAAACTAGTTACTTCACTCACTTATCACCATCTTTCTTTTCATCTTCTGCCATTTCACTCCGGGTGGTTACGTAGAGCCTGCATAAGGCCGCTCTCCAAGCGATGGTTAAATCCATTGATGAACTCCTGATAACAAAAATAGAGTACTGTCAAAAACTTGATCGCAACACTATGGCTAAATAGCATCGGAATAGTATTCCCTATCCAGCTGAAATTAGAAAAGAGGAGACTTTCTAAAGAACTTGTTTACCGTATTAAACTTGGTTGAAACAAGCTTTGTTCCATCTTCTGAGCTGCCAAACTGCGATGGTAGGACGCCACGTACATGCAGCATACCACACCTTAACATTCCAATAAATTAATATTACTCATGGGAAATGAGATCCCATCAATTCTCCGACACTCCAATTATTGAAAGGATGGAATTTTTAGACGTTCCTAAGCCTACGGAGGTTACTGATTTTGAAATCTACGCCTCTATGAAAGTTGCGCCACACGATGTGTCCAAAAAAACTATAAGAAGGCACAGTTTTGGTGGCGGTGAGCGGGTGACTCTATTCCAATGGAGAACAGACGTTGAACACAATCCCCGAAGTTGGCGTAAAAGGTTAACGCGAAGGTAGCCACCTTATGCTTGCTATACGATTTTTGCGCTAACATACTACCCTCGTTTTTATTACCGAGCAGCTTTCTTATCTTAGGCAACAGCTATGCCTTAGCGAGGAGGTCAGGCCATCTATGAATGTTACACTGAAAAATTTTGCACATCGGTATCAAAACTATTACTAGTGCCGAAATTTGTATTTTGCATGTCTATAACATAGATAAAGGCCAAATTTCATGAAGAGATAATCTGGAAATAAGTGAAGCAAGAACGTACCTGTTAGGCATTGCATCTTCATTGGGGTACTCAATGTGACCATAAAAGTCTATCGAGTGTACCATACGAAGGTATAAGATTAACAGATCGAGAGCGTGCAACAATTTTTCGTCGCGCACGAAGGGAATCTTCTCGTCAGTTGGTGCAGCTGGCGTAGAAGGTGTACAGCGAGAAATTCCTGCAACGTTCGGATCAAGTAACTCTACGCATACTCTAGTGGATATCATATCGGTTGAGGTTTGCTTTCATGTAAAACAGTTTAATGGATATTTCTACTAAACAAAACTTACACCAGAAATTTATTGCAAAAAAAATTCAGAGATCCAAAGGAATCCAAAAATATTCGCAAAAAATTTTACGTTTATTTTTCCCTTCCCACCTCTATAAGTGGCGATTACTTAGTTAACACTTAGAAGCGCTGCTCTCGCAAAGGCAGCTATTCCACGCCAACGAAGGCAGGGTACCGATCAATTTGAGGCAGCTCAGCACAACTGTCCCTACTGCAGTATTTCAGATCGCTGAGGAATATGCTAGCCATAAGCACCGAAATATCCAAGGCAGGAAATGAATTTTTTTTTGCGAGAACATTTGGATTTTTTTTTGATATTTCGGGTATTTTTTTGCAATAGATTCTTGTTGCCTCTTTTTCATTGTTTTGAAATCCAGATTCCATTAAGGCCCCGAGTACAGCACAATACTCAGATACTTCTACCTAATCATAAAAATGGTGAAGCTTTCCTTTTTATTCACCCCTTTTTGAAATGTGGCACGCGTTCTATTTCCATTCAGAATCGCGTAAAGGTTTGCTGAATGCAGTGATTTCCACGCAATGGTTTTCGAAGGCCAGCCGATGTCAGTGACTTTATACTCCCGGAAACTCCGGCACCAGTTGAAAGCTTCCAAAGGTTGGAAAGCTTGATTGGCCTGGGCATGGGCCTGTTCGGGCTCGGATTGTGCAGAAGGTAAGTAGACCACACGGCTGATGACTTCAGATTCAAAAAGGTGCTCCTATTCGAGCCGAGCAAGTGGTACAACAATTTACAACAGTTCTAATCCACCCCTAAGGTAGATATACTCATAATATCTTGAGTACTGTCAAACAATTAATGGAACT